GCCTGGTATTGTCCTATTATTCGCTCTGCATACGGTGCCATACGATGGCATAGTATATTAGAGAATATTTTATACGCTGAATTTAGGAGCGTAACTCCTCGATAGTTAGAACATTCAAAGATATCTCTCTTTTTGTGTATAGTGCAAAAACGTATTCCAATATTCCAGTCACTGGGAAGGGACTTCTGTATCCATATTTCTTTTATAAGCTGCTGTAGCGCTATTATAGTATCATGGCCACCTTCTTTATATAATTCCGCTGGAAGATTATCTAGTTATATTATCCATTCCGCTAAAGCACTTTTTTTTCCGTCTTTATAGAGGGGGGTCTTCAAAAGACATCTCAGTCCAGGACGCCGCCTGACTGACCTTAGTGCAGGATTCGTTCTTCGTACTCCCGGCGATAGTTCCCGAGGTACTTTAAAATGCCCTCTCGTCGCTGAGTCTACGCTGAACGCCTACCTGCTAAACCAGACCCTCCTCTGTCATCCAGCGATCCGCTGTAATCTGATGGCCGCTGTAAGGCCGGCATCACTTCCGAAGCACTACCTTTATTCATTCATTCTCCATTCATACACATCCACACTCCTAGTTCGGCATCATTCTCAGAAGGGCATTTCCTCCTTCCCCACAGTCAAACTCACGCATTCTAACTCAAAAAGTGTGACCCATTGTTTTAACTTCACCTTTTAGCATCATTCACTCTACCTTTGCCGTTGGTCCAGCTGTCTTTCTTCCTCTTCCTTTTTTTTTGATCACTGCACGGATATAACTGTGTATGTTAATCCAACCTAATTTATTTTCAATCATTCTCTCAATCATTTCTCTCACTGTAACAAAATTCACACCTGTCTCTCTCTCCATTCTGTTCCTTTCCACTATCCATCTGCTGCAATCTAACATCGTATGTGTGTCCGAGTATCCACAATATAGGCATTCATCTGTATCAGCCTTACCGATCCTATAAAGGTAGGCCCTAAAACACCCGTGTCCTGTGAGCACCTGAGTCAGGAAATAATCCAATCGCCTGTGGTCACAGTCCACCCAAACTCTTATGTTAGGGATCAGCATTTTCGTCCACTGTGCCACATCCTCCGTATTGTTCCATTCTTCTTGCCATCTTTCAACTGACCTTTCCCTTACCTCTCTTCTCTCAGCCACAGTAAGGTTTAGGCCTCTTCTCTCATACAGCTCTTTTCTTTCCACCGCCAAAACATGCAACGGAACACATCCAGTGATAGTCCATAAGGCTGCCGCAGACACAGTCCTGTAGGCGCATGCCACTCGCAACAAACTTGTTCTGTCTACTCGTTTCATAAGATTCTTATAGGCCGTTATCTCTACCGCCTCGCTCCAGACTGGTGCTGCGTAGAGAACGATTGACTGTACAACACCGTGTAAGGCCCTCCTCCTTTCGGATTTGGGTCCTCCAATGTTCGGCATCACTCTCCCCAACGCAGCCGCACTGTTCGCAGCCTTCCGGACCACCTCCCGAACGTGTTCCCCCCATTTTCCATTCTGGTGCAATGTCACTCCTAGATACTTTACTTGTGTCTTGGGTGTTAGACATACCCCCGCACATTTTAATTCAACACCTTGCCTGTTCCTTGTCCCCTTCAGAATAATGGCTTCGGTTTTCTCTGTCGCAAGTTTTAATCCGTGCTGCGTCATCCATTTCTTTACGACGCCACCTGCTTTCCGAACCCGGTATTTGAGATCTGGCTCATCCCGGGCTACTACCAGTACAGCGAGGTCATCCGCGAATGCGAAGGGGGTTGTACCCTCTCCGTATTCACAGTGCATAACCCCGTCATATGCTAGATTCCATAGCGTCGGGCCCAAGACAGATCCCTGCGGTACCCCGGCCGTCACGTCCACGATCGTGCCCTTTTCCACCATAATTCTTCTCTCGAACAGATACTCCGCCATAACATTCATCAGGTAACCAGGACATTCTCTCTCCTCCATTGCCTTCATTACCTCGTTCCACTGCAGCGTATTAAATGCATTCTTAACATCAAACAACAGCAGGGCCGCCCAGCGATGTTCATTCCCTCTGTTGTGCAATGTTTCGAGTACACTCATGATTGCATCAATCGTGCTTTTCCCTTTACAAAAACCAAATTGCCTCCGAGATAAACCACCTGACCTCTCAATTATGTCGTCTATGCGTACTCGCAGCATCCTTTCATATAGCTTACTGATGCATGGAAGAAGACAGACCAAATAACAAACAGGGCTCTAAAATACTTACCGGCGAAAGGTATAGTATTCCTAATGGACATAATCAATGCGATGCTAAGATTCAAGAAATTCCCAAGCCGATGAAAAGAGTCCTATGGCAATAGGATACAAAAACCAGGAAGACAGTTTATTTCAGCAAAAGTATAGGCCAAGAAGCTTATTACCTGCAATCAGTAAGATTGCAGAGAGAGTCATACTCAGCTGATTCCAAGCCAAAACAGACAGACTAGACATAATACCAGAAGCACAATTTGGTTATAAATCAGAGCACTCCAGCAAGCTACAAGTACTTAGATTAACAGAGTATATAACAGCTGGATTTAACAATAGACAATATACAGGAGCTGCCTTCGTAGATGTAAACAAAGCTTTCGATAGATTCTGGCATAAAGGACTAATTTATAAAATGAGGAGATACGGATTCAGCGGAGCAATGACGAGATTTATCTCTTCATACTTGAGCAACCGTAGTTTCAGGGTTCGTTTAGGACATGTCCTGTCCGAGCTCGGGAACCCAGAGGCTGGAGTACCACAGAAACCGGTTCTGTCACCTCTGCTATACACAATATACACAGCCTATGTTCCTAGAACACCAGGAACTTTACCAAGTCTATATGCCGGCGACACAGCAATAGCGGCCAAACACCGAAACATTAACATAACGATAAACAAATGGCAAACAGTGTTAGACGAAATCGAAAAATGGAGTTTAAAATGGAAAATCGTCTTCCAAAGAAACTACAAAAGCACGCAGACAGTACTCTTTAAAAAGAGGCATCAACAACCAGAGACACAACTGACAGTGCAAAACAATTTCATCGAGTGAAAAAGCAAGGGAAAATAGCTAGGAGTAATCATGGATAAAGGCTTAACATTCAAAAAATACGTAGATGTTACCATACAAAAAGCAAGCATAGCAAAAGCGTCAATAAGAGGACTAGCAGAAAGACGAAGCAAACTGTGGATAAAAACAAAAATAATATTGATAAATAGTATAATTCTTCCTATACTAACATATGCATCTCCCGCATGGGGATACATATGCAATACTACAAAAAGAAAATACAAGCAGTACACAACAGCAGTCTAAGGGAAGCAGCCAACGTACCGAGATACGTTGCTGAAAGATTACTATTTAGAGAACTACAACAAATTAGAGTGAAAATCCACTAGGAAACTAAGTTCCTGTAGCTGGCTGTATACCATATATCACAAAAAATTTATTTCAAATCCTTTATAAAAGGTATATAATAAAATTTTTATTATATACCTTTTATAAAGGATTTGAAATAAATTTTTTAAATTAGAGTGACTGAAGTAATGAAAGATCCAGCAAGGACAAAGTTCGTGGAACTGGAGAACCATCCAAGTCACCTAATGCTAGAGATAATGAGTTACGACGCTTTTCACCGATGGAAGCACAAAAGACCCAAATAACAAATAGTGTAATAAAAACTGAATAAAACCAGAGAAAAAACAAACAAAAAAATACCAGAGAGAACACAGAAATCACGGAAGAGAAAATAAAACAAAAAACAATAAGAATACCACACAAATGCAGGTAGTTGGTAGCTCCATAAGTAAAGTTTAGGCACAAGTAATTAAATTATATTTATTTGCATATACTAATTAGGATTCTATGTTTCATTTCAGGATATCCTACAAAAAAAAACTTACAAAGAACACAAAAAACGGCTTCAGCCAACAAAAAAAAAATTACAAAATTATTAACAAAACCGGCGAAAGTCACAAAAAAATATTAACAAAAACCATAAAAACCCGGGTAAGTAGAGCCTAACCACTTGAGCTACAAATCTCCTAACTGGACCTAGCCCAGTTCGGAGCGAAGACTTGAGGCCCAAGTAGGCAAAATTAGTTTTGCGGATAATTGTAATAATGTTGGATATATTCTTAATAATGTTTATGGGTACTTATTTTAAACACACTAGATACTTATGATTTCGTTTATTAACTATCTAAGTACACTATTAGATAGTACTCAGTTGACATTGACAATATTAACTTCGACCGTTCGCTTGATTCTTTATTCTTAACAATAATGATAATAATAATTTCAATCTCGCGATGTCCAGCTATTTAACTCACATTCGATTGTTATTATAATATATTTCTATATTTGTTTAATTGATACACGTTATTTAATAAGCTTTCGATTACATTGCAAATTTCACTAGGTCAGCGTGCGTCCTCGTTACAACGATATTTTCAATGTCATAAACAAACAATCTATTTTCGCAAATATGTGTTACGTTATTAAAAGAGATTACTTAGATTTCATGCTTAATTGAATCTCGTTACATAAGTCACATGAAGGTAACAAGAAGCGACTAACGCTAGCCTGAATTTTAATCGGATAGAGTACCATGTTGGAGTTCTATTACCCAGGACTCCCAGATGAACAGCATTTGGCTGATAGTTGTGCACCTATCATGCATTAAAGTGCTATAGGGGGGAAAGGGATCATCTGGAGCATTGGAGTGCGGTGGAGTAACTCCTGTTTTTAACTTGAATCAATACACCTCGCTCCAATGAATTGTTACAACCCGAACCCTTAAGGATTAACATGTCTCACAGGCTGAGTTTAATTCAATTGCTTGCTTACTTACAAAATTTAATAATTTTGGACGACCCGACGCGCAGATATTGTCAAGGGTATAGCCGGTTAGAAAATCCACAAGTTCTACTGTGGCTGTTATTACGTGTATACATAGATTTAAAAAATATAATTCAAACACCTGTTTCCATGCATGTAAGCTGAACTTTTATAGTAATAGTTTGATATGGCTTGATAATTGACGATCTTGGGGTTAATTCTATAATCATTTTTGCTGCGTCATCTCCAATGGGGCTTAAAAATTGAAAGTAACCTAAAAATAATAAAAAAATTATATTATATTCATTTTGCTATATAAACGTATGTCCCTAAATTTATGAAAATATTTCAATTCAAAAATAATGATAGATAATACATCTAGACATGACTTTAAATTTATGTTTAATTTCAAATCGAGAGATGTGATTGGTTCCTCGTAAAGTGTAGCACAAAACTGTATTGAGTTATGGAATACTACAGTAAATAAAACCCCCTGGAAAAAATTAAAATTTAATTTGAAATTAATAAAAACTGAATAATTTTTACAGTGAACAAGTGTGGGATTTAAATATATGTATTACAATTAGAAAAGTTAACATTTTGTCATAGTCATTTTGTCAATCAGTTCTTGTAATCTTCTAGGAACGTCCCAAAACGTTCTCTATTGGATTAATATTTGGACTTTTAGAGGGCCATGGAAGAAGTTCAATGTTATTTTCCATAAGGTAATCCCGTACAGGGTGGGCTTTGTGGATTGAACAGTTATCATGCTGGAACATAAAATTATTGTTGGAGAAAATTTCCCTAACCGAGGGCAACATCACATTATCTAATATATATAAATAGGTTCCAGTATTGAATCGTCCTTCAATTCTCCAACACATTCCTAAACCTCCTCTATACATCTGAGCCCAAACATTTATAGAGAACCGTCCGGACTTATCACTTCATGAAATATAGTTTTCGTTAAACCTATTTCGAGGAGGTCTATAAACCATTTTTTAAATCTGTTCTTCTAAGTCTCCTTGCCGTATGGAAGAGATGCGCTCTTAAATAATTAGTTAATGTTTCATCTTGTTGGGCTGTAGTAATAACTGGTCTCCCACTCCCTTTCCTTCTATCCAAAGTCTGCTCGTTTTCCCATCTTTTTTTATTGTTGTGGATTGTGGTTTTGCTTTTATTTAACTATTGAGCCAGTTGTCGACTAGACCAACCATCTTCTTTTTTTGAAATTATTCTCGTTTTATCAAACTGACGTGCATCTTTAAAAATTTACTTTGACAAACTTGTCAAATCTGACTGATGGCAAGCAATATTTTTTATGTTTTTTTATTATAATAGGGAACTTGCACATTTTTTTTATTATATAATAACGTTCAGTTTCATTTAAAAATAAGATTTCCAAAATTTCACTCCTCAAAAACTCATAATGACTTAGCAATACAAATTTAAAATCTTCCGTGTATAAAAATCATTTCAAACGATCAAAAAAGCGCGCGAACCCTTATGACGTCACTTAGTAGTATTGTCTGTATGTCAGGTCTCCTGTCTTGTATAAAAGTATAAACTATTTTGTTTATATTGGTGTTTGATACAGTTTTTGAAGAGAGAGTGTTGAATTGTGTGTGTTTTTACTATAGAAAGTATAAGTAAATACTACAAGTGTTGTTTAGTACCATTGTGTAAAAGTACAACCATTAAAACCCCCAACAAAATATTTATTAGATTACCAGTCGATAAAAAACGGCGTTTAAACTAGTAACGTGCCTGTGGGAGGGATATTTCAGTTCCTGCTCAAGCTCTTTATGTATGTGAAGATCAGTTTGCCGTTATTCTGCCATATCGTAACTCGAACCATAAACTGCTATCTGTGTGCTAGTTTTGATGGCAGCTTCTGAGCATATTTGCCCACTCATATTATTTGAACAAAATTCAACAAACTCACTATATGTGGTCTGTTATGTAGAAATAAATTTTAACAGCAGCTGGAATATCCCTATTTTTTTATATTATCATCTTTAAAATGTTGCAATAACTGGCTCTCAGACTGGTTTTTAATGCCCATGTCTATTACTTCTATTATTATATGGCAAGCAATATTTTTATGTTTAATTTTTATGTTTAATTGTTCGGATATGTTCGGGAAGTTTTCACGCACTGATAACATAAATGTAGATACTAAACCAACATTTTTCAGTTATAAGAGGATCTTTTACAGTTATAAGAGGATAATGTCATACTGTCACGTTTTGAAAAGAGTTTTTTGCCCGGATATTTTATAGTTTCTAATCTACGTAGGATAAAGTATAATGTTAGTTTTTCACATTTATCCTTCATGTAATAAATAATAAAATAATAAGTTATTTTAGGTAGTTTGCTTGTTACTAAACTTATTGACATAACATACAGTTAACAGTTTGTGTTCTGTAAATAATTGAAGTATAAAATTACAGTAGATGCATTATAATAACCTAAGTTTAAATATCGTTCAACATTTTGGACTCAACTCAATTCTCAATTTTCTTTCTGGTTACTAAATTTATTACATACGGTTTTTTGTTGTTAATAATAAAAATAAAACCTATCTAAAAACTTAATTACATTTTTAAACGTTATTTTTACGTTTTATTTAAATTTACTGAAATTCCGTTATCTGTGATGGCAACAACGAATTGATTCGCGAACCATTGTGTCCAGTCTGAACACAGGTTTACATTGGGAAAAAAAAGTGTACCAGTTTTATATGACGGGAAGTGTACAATTTTATATTTGATTAATATATTATACTAACCTGTGATTGGGCTAAGATTTTCTACAAAGAGCTCTAGATCAGTAGGTATTCCACTGTAAATAATTTCCGCTGAGTATAAAATAGGCAGCGAAAGATATTTGGATGTAATTTTTATTTTAAAATTAATAACTTCATATATAATTACACAAATGTCTTCTACAACGGCTATATTTTGTTCGGTTACCGAGATAAGTACCAAAAATGACACGTAGCTTTGAACACCCTAAAAAGTTTTATATTATTCGCTTAAAAATAAGTTTTACTGTACAGCTTTTAAGTAGTAGTACGATATTAAAGTACAAATAAACATAAAAAACTACTAAACATACATTATTCTTATGTGGTTCTGGGGTCATCATTATCAGTTAGAGTTAGATATTTCTGTACGCTGCTGAACATAGCCTCCTCCAATTTCCTTCAAATATTTCGACCTTGAGTGCTGTTAATCCATTTGCTTGTTATACTCTTTATATAGGCGCTTTATCTGGTTGGTGGTCTACCTCTGTTTCTTTTATTCACTTTGAGTCTTCATATTATCAGTCTTTTGGATTAACGGTTGCCGATCATTCGGGCTATGTGACCTGCCCACTTTCGTTTAGACTATGTGATAGGTTACAAAATTTTAACTATTACCGTTCTCTATCTTGTCTCCATTAGGTATTCTGTGTTTTGTGGTGACTTTTAACATTACTTTTTCCATTTCTCTCTACGCCACTCTCCACTCTCAATTTGTTTATTGAACGTTTTCAAGGTTAATGTTTCAGTGCCTTATGTGATCACAGGTAAAACACATTATTTGTATACTCTTCTAACTCTATACTCTACTTTTCAAACAAATTTCGAACTGTTCGAACACTCGAAGTGTTCTACCTAAATACATCTTTCAGCTTCACCTAAAATTCAGAGCACTTCAATCAGAATAGAAATGTTCTCGTTTCCTTTAATTGTCACAGCTATTTATTCACCTCTTAGGCACAATATTGAAAAATACGACAGTTTCGTCCAAACCCTTGGCTCACACTTCCTTGTAGCAGGCGATTGGAATGCCAGAACTACTCTTTAGGGATTACGACTAACTACAACGAAAGGTAGAAATCTACATCGATCATTACAAAAAAAAAAACAATGTATTCTTCTTTTTCACAGAATAACCAACAAACAACAAACGTTTAGCAATGTTTAGTTTGGGTTAAAGGCTGTTTTATCGCACAGTTATAACCTGTATGCATCTATACCTGTTGTTATTCTATACATATGGAAGTAAGCTAGAAACAGAGCAGAGTTAAATAAAATAACCTCTTCTGCTTATGTTTGAATAATATGCGGGTTTTGAAGTAACGTGCATGATCCCGAATCAGCAAAGTAGTATTATTAAATCTTTAGGTTTCTTGTGTCTATGAAACAGTAGTGCTAGGGATCAACATTGATACAGAAAGAACTGACTTGTAATCTGTTATCACCTCTACGTATAAAGTTAGACATCATAAAACAGCTCATAAAGACTTTGCCTAAAGATAAACCGTTTTTTAGGTATCTATACCAACATTGTCAACGCCTTCCAGAAACCAAACTAAAAGAAGGCATCTTTGTTGAACCAGATATTAGAAAAATTATGTTTGATGTTAACTTTGGCCCTACAATCACCTTAAATAAAATAGAATTATGGGTATCATTCAAGAAGTTTTAAAAATTAGGATGTTTGATGAACTTGAAAGTTTACTGTTGTTGAAAGAGTCACCTTAATTACTACCTGGATAATTTGGGAGATGATACTAAGGAGTACGATGGACGTTTTTACTAGGACAATACATTGATGGGAAAACGCTACCAGGGCGGCTTGAAGTTTTATCACATACCGTATAGAAGTTTTATACCATATAATTATTTATTATTAGCAGTAGATTGCTCAAAAAATAGTGTAACGCAAAAAAGGCTAATAATCAAAATGAGCCAGCTTAACCGGACAAAAAAATTAAACCAAAATAAACACATAAATGCGACCTCAATGTTTTAAATAAACTTAAAGTAAATAGAAAGAATAAACAATAAATAAATAATAATATAAGCTACGTAACGATCAAGTTAGTACAGACATTATTCCTCAGAAATAAATAAAAGAAATATGAGATAAAATAAACATATTATACAAAATAGTAGGGAAAATATCAAGAAAGAATAACAAAGACAGGTATGGACAATAATGTGAGACATTCAGAGTAACAAAAATCACCAGAAATACATGGTTAAATAACCCATCAGAGCACAACAAAAAAAAACTATAAAAAAGCAAGAGATAAATACAAATTCACAAATAAAAGAAGAAAAATATATAAAAATTTAAAGAATATTGAGAAAAATAGATAAAATTATAAAATCTGGCAATTCTACAAAAAACCTACAGTAAATACAGAACTAAGTATGTAAAACTAGAGAAACTGAGCCCAGTATAACAAAATAAGAAGTCATGAATGCAGTAAAATTGGCAAAAGGTAATAAAGGTGCAGGTCCTGAAGAGATACCAACAGAAATTATTAAATTAATCGCAAAAATCAAATAGATATACTAAAAGACTTGTACAGCACCATATTATATGACATAAGCGTCATTCCAAAAAAAAAGTCGTTTGTAAACCACCGACAAAAGCTAACGCTAGAGATTGGTGTAACCACCCAACCATCATCTTAATCAGCCACACCTTACCACCTACTGGAGCTGGTGTAATGAACGTGTTCTATTCTATCGGTTTGGTGAGTTGAACGAAACCAATAATTCCCCGTCTGATCGGTAAATGCGTTGAATGTAGCTACTGAACATTCTATAGCGTTTCATGTGTTAAATCAGACATTCTTTCCCGTAGATAATTCATTTCGCGCTGAGAAATTAATCTACTAATAATTAATTCCCTCAATCGTCGACTTACAGACGACCCCTGACATACTTTAAAGAATAAACAATTGAACTCAACTATGGCCTAGAAGTAGATTCTGACCGAAAAAGATGGATAGATGACCTGAAAGATGACGTAAGAGCCATACAGGTTATAGATTGAAAAGCTCGATACAGAGACTGAAAAGAATACACAGCAAATTATAATGAACAAAAGGGTATAATCCATCTCTAAAAAATAGGATTAGATATTACATACCCAGAAGTGAGTATAATCCTATGGGATTGCAAAGCTATGATGATGATGATGATGACGTTTTTGATATTTGATTTAAAATCTTTAGAGTAAACGAAGCTAAATCTTCCTTATGATTCTTTTTTGTTTTAATGATTCAAATATATGTTTACTTTATAATGCGTGTTTATGTTTGGCCAATAGAAAAATTACGTTATTAGTAAAAAGTAAAATATGAAAATTTTGGCGGTAGATTACACTGTTCATCCTAAGTATCTTACCTGATTGGATATTTTATACAAAAGTTTATAACTTTCACATGCATTGCAAGTTCCATACGCTTCACTTAAATTCTCACTTTCTCTGTTGATTTGCATATATGGCTGACAGTCTATATCGTATTTAATTTCCCAAATTTGCCATGATAGGTTTTGATCAGAACTATTTATTACATAGAACTCTTTTTGAACATCTATACCGGATGGTAAAATTCCAAAATTTAGAATTGGGTAAGAAAAATACATCTTTTGCTTACGTTGTGGAGATTGTTCAGCTTCGTCACAAAGACACCTTCAAAAATTCATAGTAGAACATATTAGGGACTGATTGGTTATATTTAGAGATTTAATAAAATATATTAGAGTTATAAAATTCCTATTAAAAAATTTGTACTTTTATGTAAAATGTTAGATATTAAACACATAATACAATTTAAACAAGTAAGAGTTTTATATTTCAGTACAAAGTTTGTCAGGAGCTGACGGAGAGATAAGAGAAAACATGTAACTTAGTATATTTGTTATATAATAAATGTTTGACAGTTTAGCGTCAAATACTACTAAAGTTTCCGATTTTTAGGTTTTTGGCCAAAAATATGTTGGAACTATTTCTATTGAATTTAGTTTTGGTCTCCAGTTCTCCAACTTGTTATCCCGATTGTTTGTAGATCTTCCTTACACGCATCTAGCAATTTTTTTCCAGCATTTTCCTTCTTTTCTTTCCCTCTCAGCAGCGAGTCCTTTACCCACCTTCCATCTACCATTCTCGCAAGATGACCTAAATATCTAAGTCTCTTTGTCCTGAGGAACTGGCTAATTTCTGGTTTTCCGTACAGTTCTCAGACCTCTGCATTCGTTCGTCTTCTCCAAACTCTTCATAGTCTTTTACTCCGTGAATTCTTCTTCTTCTTCTTTTGGCATCATAATCCTGGATGGGTCTTTGCCTGTCTGGCTATGTCCTTCCATTCAGATCTCTCTTGTGCCCTTCTTCTCCATTATGTTCATTGTTTTCAGGTCGTCTTCCACGTCATCCAACCAACTCGTTCTTCGCCTCCCTTTTTTTCGCCTATCTATGGGCTTCCATTATAACATTGTCTTTGTTGTTTTTGCATCGTTTTGTCTCTGCACATGTCACAACCATGACAGTCTTTGACTTTTCACAAATCTTACAATGTCATAACCTTCATTTAACTCATTAACCTCGTCGTTTCTCCTGATTCTCCATGTGCTATCTTCCTCTTGTACCGGGCCATATACTTTCCTCAGTATTTTTCTCTCGAATGTCCTGAGTTGGGCTTCATCTTTTTTCGTCATTACCCAAGTTGCACATCCATAGGTTACTACGGGTCTAATCAGTGTTCTGTAGATAGTCATTTTGGTTCTTTTGTCTAATAATTTCGATGTCATCAATCTTTTATTAGCATAGTACGTACGATTCCCGCTGGAAATACGTGCATTAAATTTCGCTACTTACGGAGTTCTTCTGATTGATTTCTGTGCCGAGATATGTAAAGGCATCCACTCGTTCGATAGTATAGTTGTCTATTGTGATATTATTTTCATTGTCAGTTATTCTTTTGACTATCATATACTTCGTTTTGGCTTCATTTATTTTGAGACCTCTTTTTCTTGCTTCAGGATCAATTTGTTTGAAAACTTCCATTACTCGTGGTTTATTCCTACTAATGATGGCTATATCGTCTGCATATGCAGTAATTTGTACTGATTTGGTGTTTATATGGCCGGTTATATTGGTTTTTCTGATGACTGCCTCAAGAACTAGGTTGAATAGCATGGTTGATAGGGCATCTCCCTGTCTTACTTCCATGTTGATGTTTAACAGGGGAGTCAGTTATCCATCTACTCTGACTGCGGCTTTTGAACCCTGCAACGTCATCGTTATGAGGCTGATGTATTTCTTAGAAATACCTAGATTACAAAGGTCTTCCAGCATTCTGTCTCTTTTCACACTATCAAAAGCTTGTTTAAAGTCTATATACATATTATAAAGGTCTATGTCGTATTCATAAGCTTTTTCTTGTATCGTTCTTAGTATGAATATGTTATCTGTAGTGGCTCTATTTGGTCTAAATCCATTTTGATAATAACCAATTATCTTTTCGGAGTATTCTAATAATCTATTGTAGATTATACCAGAAAGAATTTTGTATATTACATTTAGCAATGTAATTGGCCTATAATTCTGGCATTCCCTCTTATCTCCTTTTTTATATATTGGCTTTATGAGGTCAACTGTCTATTCCTCTGGCATTTGCTCCTTCGTCCATATTAATGTTATTAGGTAATGGATTCTTTCCCAGAGTTCGGATCCTCCATGCTTTAATAATTCTGCCGAAATTCCGTCCGTTCCTGGTGGTTTATTGTTTTTTAGTTTATTTATTATCTGAACTACTTCTTCATAACTCGGATTTTCGATGTGCAGCTCCGCCATATAATAATTGTCTCGTTCTGATCATTTTGGTTGTCTGCATTTAGATTTTCTTCCAAATATTGTTTCCATCTCATTCTAATTTTTTGCTTCTCTGTTAGTAGTTCTCCGTCCTTGTCTTTGCATATCGTTAGTTTTGGTCTAAATGACTGTGTGCTTTCTTTTATGCATTTATAGAATTTTCTGCTTTCGCGTCTGTTGTTATGCTTTACGATTTCTTGTACTTGTTTTTTCATAGCCTCTCTTTTCTTTCTTCTGCATATTCTAGTCGCTTGTATTCTTTTTTCGTTATAAATCTCACTGCTATTTCTTGTGTTTCTTAAAAATTGGTTAAGCCTAGCTTGCCTTTTTTCCTCTACTGCAGTTCTGCATTAATCATCATACCATTCCGCATTTCTTTGCCTTTTGGCTTTTCCGACAGTTTCCTCTGCTGACTCCGTTATAATTGTTTTTAATTGTCTCCATTCCTCCTCTGCAGTATCTTTGTTTCTAGTTCGGTTGAGTTTTATTTGGAGAGCATTTCTGTAATCTTGTCTCTTTGTTGCGCTTTTGAATCCTTCGACATTCCATTTTTTGATTTAAATATTTTTCCCTTTTGCTACTGTCGCTATTTTCTGCCGTAATTTTGTCCCTACAAGATAGTGATCTGAGTCAGAGTTCGCCCCGCGATACGTTCTGACATTAGTTATGTCTGTTGCCCATCTTTTTGAGATGAGTATATGGTCAATTTGATTGGCTTCGATAGTTCCTGGTATTTTCCATGTTCCTTTATGGATATCTTTTTTCTGGAAGTTAGTACTGACAACTACGTAATTATTTGCTGCTGCAAACTGTGCCACCCTGAGTCCACTTTGACTGGTTTCAGTGTGCAAACTGTGTTTCCCAAATATATTTGCAAACGTTTCTTCTTTCCCCAGTTTAGCATTAAAATCGCCTAACGTTATAATAGCATCATGTCTTTGGATTTTATCACATACATCCTGTAGTTCTCCGTAGAATCTTGTTCTTCATCAGCCTCTTCCGTCGGTGCATATACATTAACCATTGTCACGTTATGAAATTTACCTTTAAATCTTATGGTGCAAATTCTATCTGATATTGGTGTAAATGCAATAATGGCTTTCCGCAGTTTTTTGGTTACACTCCTTTTTCACCTTGTCTCATTTCATTTCCGGAGTAGTATAGTGAGAATTTATTCTTATGAATTTCTCCCTGGCTCTTCCATCTGATTTCCTGCAGTGCCAATATCCATCCATTTTTCTGTGCTGAGTTCGTCGTTGTGAGATCCGTCCGTTTGTTTCATTAGCCATTGTATTCGCAACAATTGAGTTCTACAAGAAAGGGTTGTTAACCCTTCGCCCAACCCCCTTTTCATCGGAGGACCACGGCTCCCTTCTTCGTCTGCCCTGACCCCACCATCCATTGGGGTTGGTTACCTAGTCTCCAGTGGGGTTGCTCAGGTTACCGGTGTGAACCAGCTTGAAGGTGAAGATAGGAATTGAGTAGGAGAGGCTAAGTGATGCCAACAGGATACGACATCATGTATTGCGCTTCACTACCCCTTTACACACCTTTACTCCGTGAATATCTTTCCTAAATACTAGACTCCCAGATGATCCGCATGTTTTCTTAATTTTTGTTCATAACCCACGTTGACTTTCTTTCCCTTTGCTTGTTATGGTTACTCTTAGATATTTAAGTTCCCTCAATTTTTGAAGCAATATTCTTAATTCTCATTGTTTGTGGTACTCTTCAGTTGTGTGTCTTCATAAGCGGTCTACCATATTTTATATACTTGGTTTTTTGCTCAATAATAATCAGTCCATACTGTTTAGTCTTTGCTTTAAAGAGCTAGAAAATCCTCAGCAGTCATTCTTGAGTTTTTGCCATTAACACTATATCAGCCGCATAGGTCAGTACCTGGTTTCTGTTATCATAAATCATACCTTCCGTTTGTATTTCCCACTCTCTTTCTCTCAATATTACCTCCAGCAAGAAATGAAAGGTTATTATGGATAGTGGATCTCCCTTCATTAGTCCCCTTCTTACTTAAAATTTCCCTGTTAGGCTTTTGTCTATTCTTACCCTATTGTTGGTTCTTGTTAAGGTCATTTTTGCCAGAATGATTACCTATTCTGGAATTCTAAGTGCTCTTAAAGCATGATACAGACACCTTCTTATCACAGAATCGTAAGCTTGTTTAAAATCTATAAAGAGACGGTTTAGCTTTAATTGTTGCTCGTACGTGTTGCTCTGAATCATTTTTAACACGAATATTTAATCTATGGTGGATCTGCCGTTTTTGAATCCTCCCTAGTATTCAGTAACCTGCTTCTGTTCCAGATTTGCTTTAGCAGGCTACATATCCTAGTTATTAGTGCTTATTACTATGCTTAATTAGTTCTACAGTAATACCATTGATGTCTAAACTTTTACTGTTTTTCATGCTATATATGATTTATCTTATTTCTTCCACGGTGTGAGTCTCCATTTTTTTCGCCGTGTCGTTGACTTCCCCTATTATTTTCACTTGCTTCTCATTTTAATCTGGTTCTTGATTAAGCAGCTCTCTGAAATGCTCGTACCATCTGTCTAACTTTTCATGCTTATTTCCTATTATATGCCCTTCTTTACTCTTGCAGTAATTCTGTTTTCTTGCACCTTGGTCCCTGCTGCTTTTCGTCTCCTGAAGTTTTAAATTGGTGTGATTCAAAATTAAATGTTTTTTTAGAACGTAAGAAACAAGAGATGCTTTTGCAGTGAATCCGAAAGTTAAAGATTAAAGAAACAATTCTTGTTTAGTAGAAATTCCTGAGGAACAAAATTCTTAGTTTTTTTCACTG